CATTAAGGCTGGGAGAAGCAATCCAATAGGAGGAAAAGGGTCTCAAAAGCAGACGAAAGAGTGAGAGACAGACCCCACTCCCACTGTTGTGAGTCCCACAAGAACACCAAGCCATGCAACCATAACATATATGCAAAGGATCTAGGTGAGACCCATATACTCTTCCTGATTGTTGGTTCAGTCTCTGTGAGCCCCTATGCGCCCTGGTTAGTTGGTTCTTTGGGATCTTTTCTATGGTGTCCTTGATTCCTCTGGTTCATACAATCCTCCCCTGCCTCCCTTCTTCAGGATTTCCCAAGCTCTACCTAAAAATGTTTGCTCTGCATCTGCCTCCATCACTTGCTGGATGAAGCCTCTTTAATAATGATTATGCCAGGCTCCAGTCTACAAGTATAGCAGAGTATCATTAGGAAAGGATTAAAATGTCCCTTAATCCTTTGATAACAAAATCAGATGCAGGGCTATTGTAAAGATAACTAAGGGTCAAGCTACCTTCTTGACAAGACCATACCCACACTTGGGTATATCTTATTCTTCAACTTTTCTTTCTATTAATCCCTATGCTTAAAATGTTAAAAATTCTGAAGAAACCCAAATGATACTTCCACATGTCATGTCTTCCCACATCTCCCACCTTCACAAAATGCCTGGACCACTGTCTTCTGTGCTAGGCAGACATCAGGATGGAAACCTTAGACCTCATGCTTTCAGTCCCTTCCATTTCCAGGATGGAAAATGAAAACTCTTGTGGTGGATTAGGCTTAAGGCTACAATGTTCATCTGTGTTTCAATGTGATCTTTGCTGTCCTGCTTCTTTTTTTCTCCCACTCATAAGTGAGAATTCCTGGAAATAAGCTGTGTCCTCAAATGCTGATTGATTTTATTAGAACTGTAGTGATGTGAAGAGGTTGGAATTTGGCAAGTCCAGAGCCTAATTAAAGTTTATCTTGAGCTATCATTAGCCCCATAAATAGCCATTAACTGTCTGCTTCTGTGTAGGACCTAACATCCTATGTTTGCAGATAAAAATCTTTCATAATATATTAACTAGCTAAGCAGACTAGTAGATTCCATTAACCTGAAACATAAGAATGCTATCAGATGGCATCTGAGGCCTACAGTTGATGTTTCTCTACTTAGCTGTTTTCTCCCTCCCTGATGTTCCCAGCAACTATTTGAAAGGTATCTTCATTTATGATTTTCTTCATTCTCTTACTATTAAAACTTCACAAAACTGCTTCTATATTAGAACATGGGATCTTGGGTAATTTACATCTGTGTTCTTGGGCCATAGTTACTCATATCTAGCCCAAAATAAACTATCTCTTGTCCTCTTTGAGGTGAGAGTTGCGTTTTTTGCACTCCAACTGCTTAGTTTGTCCCCTAAGGCTCTGTAGACCCAGATGTTAAATTCCCTGAGATCTCTCTCTTTTCCTGAGACCTGAAAATTTGTTCCAGTGAAAAGGCTAGTGGGAACTTCAGAAAAGAAAGATTCTTGGGCTGAGAGCACATATGAGCATTGGCTGATCCGGGAAGTCCACTAATAATACTTCACAGCCCTGGAAGTAGATTTTCATCAAATACATTGACACTTTTCATTTGTGCATTCCCTTTGTAGGCCTTTTAGAGCACGTGTTACTGTCCTCCCTGCAAGTGAAGAAAATGAAGCCAGGCATGCTAATACTTTGATTCACATGACACAACCAACCAGTGGCAAACTCAGGGTCAGGTTCCCTATATTCTAATGCTAGACTTTAGAGAATAAAGAAAAGCATGGATTATAGGGCAGAGTCTGCATGACAAGTCTGACAGAAATGAAGATATTTTTAAGAAATACTAGTAGTGTCTCTCAATCAATTGTATTGTTGAAACAGTGGACCCCAGAAAAATGAGAATTTCTCTAGGAATCTCATGCTGGGAGAAGGAATATCAATGGGGGATGTCTTCAGTAGGAGAAATGACAACTTGTCAGAGCACCTTACAAATGAGACTAAAGCTGAGTTGATCATGAGTGAGGGGACTGTTGAGTTACTTTTCTCTTATTTCCAATTTAAACTCTACTCTTAGGTTCAGACCTCAAAGATTGGACTGGAGGGCTGGGTGGTTATTGTCATGTATCTCTTTGTCCCATTTTCCATTTCAGCCACACTGAACAAATCTCCTTTCCTCCCATTTCACTATTAATTTGACTCCTTTAACTGCCTTGTTGAGAATCAATGGCTGAACCTGGCTTTGTGGCAGCACAGGCTGTGGCCCCCAAGTTTGGTAACATCTGTGGTAAAAGTATTAAGTAGAGGGAGAGAAAATGCCATGCTGAAAAATGAAGAAGCATTTGTTTGGGCTTTAGAGACTAGATAAGAATTTATCCCTAGAAGGGGAAGGATGTGGATTCCACAAGCAACATCCCATTTATTTTACCCAGATCTGTGGGTCAATCTAACCCTGTTGAGAGGTACGTAAATCCAGAGTAAAGATGACCCTGCTTCAAGCCCAGAGTGGCCTTATCCATGGATAATACTTTTCTCAGTGACATAAACACTCTGTATATATTCATATAAAGAATCTCATCTACTACTCATTGCCATTGCTGTTATAGTGCGACTGTTCCCTCTAGGCACAATGTTAGCATTGTCATCAGGAAGCAGGGCTTTCATGGTGATCAGTAGAAGACCTGGGGTCAGTGAAATAAGCAGAATCATACTGGGGATACCCAGGTCTCTGATTATGGCAATGAAGCTGTTAACATCCCTCTTGCTTTCTGGAGAAGGAATGCTCAGTAGATTCTCACTTGATAGTCTAGTCACTGCTCCATCCTACAGCAGTTGCATGTGGTCTTGGGAGTTATGAGAGCAGGCAGGAGGTGAAAAGCTGACTGAAGGTGAGACTCTGTTGGTGTGGCTGCCATGCTTCTGTAACAACACTTGTAAACTCATTGGTTCACCAAGCTAGACATAAACAGAGTTCTTTCTTCAGTTTCTTAGTATCCTCTCTAGGTGGCATTAGTAGATATTTCTTTTATCTCCCCAGGGAAAGTCACATGATAACTGAAAAGTAGACTAGTTCCCATATTTCACTGTAGGAGAACCCAAACCCTCTAGGTAACCAAGCCCTAAGCAAGGAGACTGCATGCAGGGCAAGAACACAGCCAACTCCCCAGGGCTTAGAGGCAAGCTGACCACTATCATGTAATATACTTCACAAATCAACAAGCCCTCTGCTCTACCCAGATAAAGAGTGACCCCTGTCATGTAGAAAATGTCACTTGTGGCATATTCCTCTACTTGTGTCACATACCTTAGGCCACATTTTAAGTGTGCTTTCTCTTAGTGCAAGACCTCCCCTTATCTTCAGAACCATAAGAGAAAGACACTTTGCTTTGTCTTGTGGGGCTCCCATAGTGCTGCTGCTCCCATTAATAATTCCAGTCAATTTGATGACTCCATCCTTTCTTCTCCCTAAAACATAATACTTAATTAATTAATATAATTAATTCTTGGGGGGATCTGTATTGATTGGGGCTTTTTTCCTACTTTTTTTCTTTCCTGGGGAATCTCTTGATTAAAATAGCTGAGTATCTCTCTTTGGGGCCATATAAGTATCCTAAGCTGAGTGGGCACGGGGGCACAAGGGGAGCCACCAATCAGGAAACATGATGTTCCATGCATGGGAAGCTTCTTCAGAATGGTTGGGTCTGCAGCATCTGGTAGTAGAGTTTTTACATTCTGGAGCTTTCTCTGATATCTGGGGTTGAAAGGAAGAAGAAATGTATAATCAAGAATGATGGAGCTGAAGAGATTGCCCTGTGGTTAAGAGCACTTGTTATTCTTACAAAGGACCTCAGTTTGATTCCCAACACTCACATTAAGGTTCACATTCACTTGTAACTCTAGTCTCAGGGGGAGCCAATGCCTCTTTTTTACCTCCTTGTTCACAGGGTATACACAAGGTACACATACATACACACAGGCAAGCACTCATACACAGAAAGTAAAAATAAATCTTTCTTAAAATGAGTGTGTTTATTGATATCATGTGGACTATGAGCAATAAAAGACAACTGATGTCTCTGGGAACTCTCTTCCTTAGAAACAGTGTTCTATAATATGAGAGAAGATTAAGGCCAAGATCCAAACTGTGCCTATAAATATAATTTCAATGAGCTTGAGCTGAGATTAATACAGAATCTCTGAGATATGAGGAGTTGAAAAGAATTCTTCAGAGAAAGAAGAGGTATACGATTAGAGACACAGTACTTTCTGGAATCTCCATGTGGTTTAAACAGAACAGGTGGGTGGCTGAGTTTGGAAGGTCACAGTCTCAATCTTGACTGCCTGATGCACTAAGCTTCCAGCCCTCTCCTCAATAAGACAATTAAAAAGATAACATAATGGTGAAAAGCAGAAAACAGAAGTTTACTCAATGTGGCCATATTGGGAAGAGGAATGGCAAGATCCAGTGACCACACCTGCTGTGTCTACCTGTGAGGGGTATATCTAAGGTTCAGGTTTAAGTCAAGGATGTCCAAAATGCATCAAGAGGGTTTGGCCCCAGGATAGCTATAGATGCAACCCAATACAAAACAATAAACTTACTCAAAACATTATAAGATTTTTGTTTGTTTTTTAAGACAGGGTTTCTCTGTGTAACAGCCCTAGCTGTCCTGAAACTCTCTTTGTAGACCAGGCTGGCCTTGAACTCACAGAGATCCACCTGTCTCTGTCTTCTGAGTGCTGGGATTAAAGGTGTGCACCACCACACCCAGACTTTTTGTGATCTTTTTAAAAATAAGTTGACTGCATAGTTTTTACACATGAACTTTGTAAACAGTATAGTGGTTTAAATGAGAAATGATCCCCACAGGCAGACATATGCATACACTTTATTTTCAGTTGGTGGCATTGTTTTGAGGGAGGTTAAGGAGAAGTGCAGCTTTACTGGAGCGAGCGTATCACTGAGAGTTCACAACCAGTTTATTCTCTGCTTTGTGTTTATGGCTGAAGATATGACTTCTCAGTTTCCTGCTCCTGCCACAATGCCTGACTCTTGCTGCCCGCCATGCCTTTCTCCAATGATGGACTCTTACTCCTCTGGAACTGTAAGCCCAAATAGACACTTACTTACACTTACTTTACTATGTTGCTTTTGATCATTGTGTTGGTTAGTTTTTGTCAACTTAACACAAACTAGAGTCATCTAGGAAGTGGCAAACTTAACTGAGAAGATGTCTCCATCAGATTTGACCTGTTAGCAAGTCTATGCGGAATTTTCTTGATTATAATTGATATGGGAAAGTCTGGCCCACTGCCAGTCATACTAACCCTAGTCCTCTGTTTCTAGGTTGTATTGCAAAGAAAACTAAGTAAGCCATGGAAAGCAAGCCAGTAAGCAGGTTTTCTCTATGGTTTTGGCTTCTGTTCCTACCTCTAGGTTCTTTCTTGAGTACCTGCTCTGACTTTCATCAAAGATGGACTGTGATATAGAAGTGTAAGGCAAATAAGCCCCTGCCAACTAGTTTTTGGTCCTGGTGTTTATCACAACAACAAAAAAGTAGCTAGTATAAGCAGCAACATCTTATTGTAGTGTCACACAAAATAATGTATATCCTCTCTTGGGCTGTGGGTTAGACACCCCTCGATTAAATGTATGACTCAAGGCAATTCTTCATCTACTGTGGCCCAGAGAAACCAAGATAATCCTGATTTAAATAGAAAGTAACAGGAATGCAAAGGTAAACCAGGCTGGTCAGGGTGTGGGTCCACCCACCTTCATTGTCTAGTTTCCAGTCTTTTCTTACAAGGAGGTCTGTAAGTTCACAAAACCACCTGAGGTGTCTTTTGAGAAACAAGTTTTTACTCTGGCAGACACCAGGCTTCAGCTTTTTCTTTCCCTCACTTGCATTAAGTTCCTGGAGAAATTTAAATTTCTTAGGAACCATTGTTTCTATAGTTTATAGGGTCACATGCCTATCTCCTTCAAAGATGTTCTCTCCAGCCACAACAGTTATGACTTCAGAAGGAAGTGAGTGTCCTGAAAGACAAAAATTCAAGAGTAGATGACAGGTGACCAAATGAGACCCAGAAAAACTGAACTGGGGAATCATAAGAACACAAAGAGTTCTGACCAGGAGGAACTGGCCTGCTAGTGGGAAGAGGAAGGCCCCCACTGGAGGGATGTAGACATAAGAGAGTATTACAGTCCTGTGACTCCACAGCCATATGGTGTGCATATGCCAGGCATGACACTGAGGCTCCATAGGAGAGCAGAATGTGAAAAGATTGTGGGAAGGGAAAGAGGCTCTTTGTCTTGAGGTTTGCTTTGTCTTCCTTGCTGACAACGTAAGGAAAGTTCTGACACCACGATAAAGTCAGTATTGTCTACAGACACAACTCATGATTTCCTACAGACATCTGAGATAAAAGTACTAAAGACAATAATCTGTGTTTACTTAGGTCCACTCTCCATTAATATTCTACAAAAATTTTCAAAACAGGGTTTTTATGTGCAGCCCTATCCTGGAACTCACTCTGTAGACCAGGGTGGCCTTGAACTTACAGAGATCCACCTGCCTTTGCCTCCTGAGTGCTAGGATTAAATGTGTGCACCACCACGCTACTCTTCATTAATTTTAACTCTACTCATTATTATTTACTTCTCTCTGATAATTTTTGGTTTAGCTTATTCTCCTCAAAGACTTTGGAGTATGTCATTAAGTTATTTGGTATTTCCCTGAGTTTTAAATGTAGGTATTAATAATTAAAATCTTAATTTTTAAAGCTCCTCACTGTATCCCACAAATTCTGCTACGCTTTATTTTCGTTTTCATTTGTTCATGTTTTAATTCCCCCAGTTTTGAAATCTTCATTGAACCATTGATTATTCAAAAGTTGTTCAATTTCCATGTATTCTTAGTTTTTAGACAATCAATAAAGAAAGAATTAGTTGTTTAAAAAGATAAGGTTGGTGCTGGAGAGATGACTCAGTGATTAAGAGTATGAGCTACTCTTGCAGAGAGGACAGGTTTGGTTCCCAGCACCCACATATGGCTCGCAATTGTCTGCATCTCCAGTTCCAGAGTTTCTTATGCCTCTTCTGCCATCTGCAGGCACTGCATGCATATGGTGAATATGCATATAGACAGGCACACAGAAAATAAAAATAAGATAAAAAGATAGGCTTGAGAAAGCCTTCAACAAAGTAAACTAAAAAGAATAGAAGATAGAAACAAAATAACAAAATTAGAGGCAAGAAGGGAGACGCTGAAACGTATGAAATCCACAGGATTGGTAGGGATTATATTACAATAAAACAAAAACTGAAGATGAATTTTCAGATGAAAAATTACCTACCAAAATTGAAAAAGAAGATATAAAAAACCAAGCAGATCAATAAAGAACAGACTTGAATCAGTAATAAAGTGTTTGAACAATGAAAAACCTGAATTCTACTGCTGAATTCTACAAGACCTTATGATCCAGTGTGAAAGCAGAGTTGGAATTTATTAAAAGACATATTTATGATAAATCTTATGCCATGGCATTAATAGGAAGAGTGTTGCTCCTGATGATATTCTGTAACATAGAAAGGAATAGTTCCAAACCTCCTGAAGTCATATCAGTCCAATGGCCAATTGAGTGGAGCGGTTTAGCACAATGGGCATGGTGTTCTCTGAAAAAAAGTGACCAGTTAAGAACCAGGGGAGGCCGGGCAGTGGTGGTGCATGCCTATAATGCCAGCACTCAGGAGGCAGAGGCAGGCGGATCTCTGTGAGTTCGAGGCCAGCCTGGGCTACAGAGTGAGTTCCAGGAAAGACTCCAAAGCTACACAGAGAAACCCTGTCTCAAAAAACTAGCCAAACAAACAAACAAAAAGAACCAGGTGGTAGGGAGGGTCTCACCCTTTCTTGGGACAGCAAGAGGCAGAGAAACATGGCTTGCAGTTTGGTCTCCAGGTTGCCCTTGGGAACAAAGAGACAGCAGCACAACTTTGTTCCATATTTGTGAGTGCTGTATTGGCTTTCATCCTTTAATAAACCTGACCTGGTCCCAGACTTCAGAATCCCACATTATTTGTATTATTCCAGGATGCAAGATTGGTTCAGCACATATAAAATGGTAAATATAATACAGCATAAAAACAGAATCAAAAGCACAGATTCCATGATCATCTTAATAGTTGCCAAACTAGTGGAAACACATGAACTATGAACCAATAGCTGAGGAGCCCCCAACTGGATCAGGCCCTCTGGATAAGTGAGACAGTTGATGAGCTTGAACTGTTTGGGAGGCACCCAGGCAGTGGGACTGGGACCTGTCCTTACTGCATGAGCTGGCTGTTCAGAACCTGGGCCCTATGCAGAGACACTTAGCTCAGCCTTGGAGGAGGGGACTGGACCTGGCTGGACTGAATCTACCAGGTTGAGCTAAATCCTCAGGGGAGCCCTTGCTCTGGAGGAGATGGGAATGGGGGGTGGGCTAGGGGGAGGGCAGAGGGTGGGAGGAGGGAGGACAGGGGAATCCATGGCTGGTAGGCTTAAAATTTAATATTAAGGAAGGTCACCAATCTCAGAAAAACAAAAATAACCCATGTGTTTCCTCATATGGGATTCCTAGCCTACAATGAATGCATGTATATACATAAACAAATGTATGTGTGGGTACATTAAAACATGAAGAAATAGTAAGAAATGTTGTTATTAGATGACAAGGAAAAACAGAACACATAAGTGGTCAAAGAGGATATAAAGCTAATTGTTTTTCTAGTTTTAACTTTGCTGTGGATTTTTCATTTTGTGGTAGTTAAGTGAATAAAAATGTAGTTGATAGGTATATTACTTCCTTTTCTGTTGCTATGACAAAATGTCATGACCAAGGCAATTTATGGAAGGAAGAGTTTATTTGGGCTTAAAGTTCCAAATGTGTAAGAGCCCATCATGGTGGCAGGCCATGGCAGCATGCAGAAGCTGAGAAACTGCATTTCCATCCCCATGCAGAAAGAAGAGAAAAGTAATTGGAAGTGGGATGAAGTTATAAACTCTCAAAGCTCTCCCCATTGATACAATTCTTCCACGAAAGCTGCATCTCCCAAACCTTCCCAAACAATAACACTAGCTGGAGACCAGGTATTCAAATACTGAGGTTGTGGGGCATATTTCTCATACAAACCACCACAGAGTCAAGTTACACAGCTTCAGAATGTTTTTGAGTCTGAGCAAATACTTGTTTGACACTCTTAGATCTGTTAAGCAATTTCAGCATAATGGGATATATAAAAAACATCTTAGTCAGAGTGTTCCTACACTAAAACCATACTCCATAAGAAAGAATTCAGGAAAACTCACATTCACAACAGCTCAAGACAAAATAATCAATAATAACAAAACCTAGATATAAGCCTAGCCAAGGTGTTCACAAAAACTTCTACAAAGAAAATTATAAAACATCAATGAAAGAAGTTAAAGACATTTGAAAATGGAAAAAACTTTTGATGCTCAAGGATAGGCAGGCTCAACACTATAACAATGATCTACAGATTTTGTGCAATCCCCATCAAAATGCCAATTTGAGAAGAATCTTAAAAATTAACAAGGAGTTTGGAAATGCACTGTCCTAGTCAGGTTACTATTGCTGTCATAAACACTATGACCAGAAACTGCTTAGGGAGGAAAGAGTTTATTTTAGCTTACAATTCTCCATCACTGAGGCATGTCAGGGCAGAACCTAGAGACAGGATCTGAAGCAGAACCATGGAGGAGCACTGCTTACTAGCCTGTTCCTCAAGGCTCACTCAGTTTGTTTTTGTATATAACCCAAAATGACAAGCCCAGGCATAGCACCACAAACAGTGGACTTGTCCCACCTGCATTAATCACTAATCAAGAAAATTCCCCTACTGTCTTGCTTACAGCCCAATCTCATCAAAGCATTCCCTAAATTGAGATTATTCTAGCTTGTGTCAAGTTCACACACATACATGATCAAGCTATCAGGCATATACCTCCAATAGCCAAAGTGATCCCGTAATACAATAAATCCATAAGAGTCTGGTTAAGGAGTATTAGAGAAATTTATTAAGGTAAAGGGAGGAAATACACTCACG